AGAAGAATTGGGAATTGGGAATTGGGAATTGCGCTCACCACCCTGGGCTTCGTCGCTTCTCCGGTGCAACTAATACTGTGGGCGGCGTTAAGCCTGTCCACGTAGGAGCTTTGGGCTTAGTCATCGTTCGATTTCACGTTAGCTGGATTAAATTTGAATCAAGCCTTCGTCGTTTCCAACTCGTTCGCTGATTAAAATCTTTCGATCTGGATTATTTTCGCGTCAAAAACTTTATCATTCTAGAAAGAGCTCCATATATAGTCGTCATCGAACGTGCCATCCTATTAATTCGCCTTATGATTCAAGGCAAGAAGTAGGCCCTATTAATCCTTAGTGAAGCACTAATAGATGCGCAGCTACGGAAGCTAAAAAGCTTATCGGCCGCTGTAATTCCCCTGCGTTAGTGTCGCTGTACCCACTGCGTGTTCCAGAAGACAGCCCTGTGGAGGTCCTACACGGGTATTACCGGAACGTTACAGTGTCACTAATCTCCAAACAGCAGCTGCAACAGTTTTGCTTCTTCAAATTTGTCGACATCGAAACATCAATCACAACATCATCAAATCAAAGTCATCAAGGATTTCATATCAAAGGGAAAACTCGTGGATGTGAAAGTATGTATTGCACAAAAGCTATATACAGTTGAATCTTCAGTACAAGATTTTTGGGGGGAGAAAAAAGGGAGCGTCTTCGTGGTCCGAACAGCCAGTTTTTATTTATTTACATCTTGACCCGTGTCACCAAACGAAAAGTTTCGATCCACGTTCTAGCTGCACTACCACATATCCCGGAATTGTCGTTTCGAGCGAGCCGTCTAGAACGCGGGCTTGGCGTTCTTGAGGAGCATCTCGAAGTAGGCCTGGTTCCACTCACCGGCCTCGGGGGCGGGCTTGTAGGCATCGGGCTTACCGCAGTACGAGTCGTATCGGGTAGCACCCTCGTCCGAGGTACCGTCAGACTCACCACCGGGCTTACCCCAGACGAAGGCATCGGCAAGCTCGAGACCTGTCTCGGAGGTAGGGCGGACACCGAATCCAGCACCGTCAACGTTGCACCAGTCACCCCACTCCTCACGGAGGCCAGTGACGGCGTTACGGCCAGTGTCGACGATGGCGTGCTCGGGGAAGCCAGCGGTCTTCAAGGCGTCGGAGAACTTGGTGACGTAGATCTTCTCGTTCTGGCACGAGTTGTACTTGGCGTCCGAGGCGTCAGCGAACTCACCCGGGTCCTGGTCCCTATCATTCGGTCAGTCTCGAATAGAGTTATTGATAGCAGCAAAGGAGAAAACCTACCAAGCGTTCCAGCCGGCAATGTTGGTGGCGTAACCACGAACCTGGCTGGGGCTGCCAGCGGCCTTGTAGACCTTGGCAAGCTCCTCGGCACCAGGCTTGAGGTTGTCGTCCCAACCGAGCCAACCACCGTGACCAGCGTCGATGTACATGACGACGTTGTCAAGGTTGAGGCTCTTGAGAGCGTAGGCGACACCATCCTCGTAGGCAGTCTTGCTCTCCTGGCAGGTGCTCAGGTCCGCGTTGGTCACCAGGTTGGGCAGGGAGTCGGGCTCGATGAGAAGAGCGAAAGGAATGTCAGGCTGACCCTTGATCTTCTCGACGATGGCTATGTGAGGTTTAGCATTCCGTCTTAGTCGAAAATGGTCACCGAAAGCAACAACATACGGTCAATGTACTCGGTCTTGTATCGGTCGAGCTCGTTGTACTTGAGCTCACCGTTGGAGGCCTTGGCGGCACAGTCACGGCCCGGCAAGTCGTAGATGACCAGACCGAGGATGTCTCCATCAGTGACAGCCTCTACAGCGGCGTCGAACTTGGCAATGTTGGCAATGCTGTCACTGTTTTCTTTATCAGTCACTACCCTCGTTTCAACAAGTGTCTTCCCAGACTTACAGCCACAAGAAGCTACCGACATCAGCAACCTTGGCGGCCGACGTCTTCAGGCTCTCGTCGGTGATGGCCTCGATAGCCTTGTTGACCTCGTCACGGTAGAAGGTGTTGGCGGCCAGCTTGTAGGTCGCGAAGGGGTTGGTGCTGGCATCGAGCGAGACAGCCGCGGCCTTGGCGGAGGCGGCCTTGTTAGGCGCACGAGATGCGACGTTCGAAGGTGCGGCGACAGCACCGGCGGCCAATGCCGCTACACTAGCAGTAACCTTCATTTTGATATGAACCCGTGGATGGTAATGAGCGAGTGCGGTGAGAAGAAAATCAAGAGCAACTTCGAACAGGAGATGCCCTACTTCTTATACTGCTCATTGTGGCGGCAGTAAACTACCAGGATTCCCCATTGACCATATTCGTCTACGCTCAAGGCGCGTGGAGTGGCAATCAGGAACCAGGCCCGTCAATCGCGAAAGATCTCGGTACGTTCACTCCGAATAGAGGCAATGCCGGTAAGTTCCTTCGTCGCGGGGAAGATTTTGCGGGGTCCTGTTGGCCACCGTGATTACCACATGGCCGGACCAGCCGCTCTCTACTATTTCTTCCCTATGGTGATCCTAATTTTGCCATCTGTATAACCACCCGTCCGGGCCTATTGGGGCTGTGTGGAGCAAAGGAGACCTGGAAACCTCAATCTATGCTATAGTTCTAACTCATGCAGTCTGCATGCTTCTCAACTCTCGTCTACTGACTTATTCTCGTAACGACCGGGAGAACCGTGGGGGCCCAGTGGATCGAGCCGTCCGATTTCCCTCGGTGGTTAATGACAAGCATTAGAAAACAGCTCATTAGGATACCAGGACAGCTTAACGGGCTATGGTAGCTTCGTTCACGGCAGCATGTATAAACAGGGAACGCCAAGATTTCTCCATATGGAGTGATCTGCGGCACGATATATTGCTCCCCATGGGATATAATATGCAACGGCCGATGCCTAGGGAGTTAAGCCAAGAGAAGTAAGGTACCGTCTTATTAGCGACTAAGAGGCAAGCTCCCCTGTATGGCTAAACTCCCTTCTTAGGTGAAACATACGTTATAATAGGTCTGCCCTGCGAAACAGAGTAGCTAAGCTGGCAGGGTCTCGCATTTAGCCGCAGCAAAGGTTACGGTTTTCCGTTCAACGAATCACAGACCCTGGCTAAACATCCCAACTCTGCTCCAACTCCGGAATAGACGTCACATTTCGGCATCCAATTGGCGAGCGCCTTGGCTGCTTGGACGGAATTAGAAAGGGGGAACCAGAAGTCCCTTTCCGCGAGAAGGGACATTTCTGAACTAGTGATCCAGCCCGGAACGCGACTCCGACGAGATTCCCATGTCGAGAGATGTAACGAGACTTGTCGTCGAGCACATTCCGTAATCGAAGCTCCGGGCTTGCCACCAGCCAAACTACCCCGATGGGAGGACCCTTGATATTCGTTCTCGTGATACATGCCACCTCGCATAAGGCTTTGCCGCGAGCAAAGCCACATGCTTAAGCGCGGACAATGATTCCGTAGCTGGGCAATCCTAATTCTTCCTAGGTACCTACCTAGGTAAGGCTGTCCGACAGTCTAGCTTACCAATCGTATCTAGATACCGGGAGCTCCCTCCGGAATGACGCGATTCAGGTCAGTTGGAATTGACCCACCTCCAGCTTTCATTAAGCACATTTGAGGTTGTTATTCGGATATCTCAGATCAAGCCGACGGTCCTATTCAAAGCAAAGCATAATGGGCCAGCCACCAACTAGACAGATGATTTTCAATTCATCTATAGTCCAAAACCTTGGCTCAAGAAATGGAATTACTAATGGTATCGGTCTATCCATCCATCCATTACCTTTTGTAACGTTGTGGCGGTTCTTTAAGCGCGCTCTACGGAATCTAGAATTGCGAATCTTTGATTACCTATGTGAGGTGACAACTTAGATTGCCCAGAAATTGAGCCGCCTTATTAAAGCGCCGAAGTCAAGATAGGTTGCGTGCTGATCTCATGCATAGCTTATATTAGCTACCCATATACCGGCTTCGCTGTGCTACACGTTGTGCCACACTTCCATATTCTGAAATGTATATCAAAACGGTCTAGTCGCGTCGGAAGAAGGCGATCGGAGATCTGACTGGATGTGCAGCATTATGAAGGGTCTATATGTTGGGGCAAAGTGAGATCTCATATATTGCTACCTACCTAGCAAAAGGGCATAACACCATTGGTCACTTGGAAAATGGACGGAGGTTGACATAACCTAAGGTGTAAGCTGAAACGGAAACAAGCGACTACGCGCGGTAGCTGTTCCGTAGACGCAAGAGGCGAGACTCGGAATCTTTCTGCCCTCCGGAGTCTCTTGTCCGCCCATCGAGTAACCTACTGTCTTGGGTCGACGACGGGCATAACGTATTCGGCCTTCGTGTACTAGTGGGCCGACCATTTTACGAATGAAGAAGTTGAAGTTCACGATAATATTCGTAGGTTTGCCACTGATTTCGTCACCATCAGCTCTGCCGACAGCGTCATGGTTAAGATAGCCAGAGAGATTAAGCAATGATGTTACAAGCGACGATCTTGGATCTGACCAAGACCGGACCCGGTCATCAAGGTCACCGTACCAAATAGGTAGGGAAACATAGGTATCCAAGGTCTTCACCAATCATCATGCCCTTATGAACGACTGTAGCTAAATGATGTGTAACATTGAACCAAGATGGTTTACCCACTGTAAAATTGCCAATTTTCATCTCATTCTGCTGAGCTACGGATTTGGTTCATATTGGTAAGAATTAGACCCATCCAAACCTATCTACCAACCCAGTACATAACGTAAAATTAAACAACAAGCGCACATCAAGAATAAAAAACGAATACAAGCGAAAGGAAAATTTGACACATCGTGTCCGTCAAACCCGTTCGCGGCGGGCCGGCCCCATTGCGTCGACTCTAGTTAGGGTCCGAGACCTAAGCTAGCAAACACCGGACTCAGTCCAAAATCACCAATGGATCTATTCGCCAAATTCACACGCGAACAAGGACATAAGCTGCCTTAAGACACTTGTACATCATCAATCAAGGGGTGGTATAGTATAGTGGATAGTACAACACGTTGTGGATCGTGATTCATGGTTCTCATGTCTCGTAAAACATACGAGGATGTGTATTGAATCTTCACAACTGTACCGTGTAGACCTGGGTTCGATTCCCAGTACCGCCAGCGAGTATCGTGGCAGTGTCCCTTCAATATTTTTTTTTCACAATCTTTCCTTTTTTTTCTCGTTTCAATTTGGTCCTATCTTCTTCTTGCCTCCTCTCACTCTCAATTTAGAAGAACAGCACCACCCTCTCCCCTAGAATAAGCTTGGGCGATCCTCTTTCCGACTGACTCACCACTCCAGTAGGCACCTGTAGCTGTTCCCAGAGCGACGAAGGGTGAAGTATGCTCGCCAGCTAGCCAGAGGCCTCGACCTGGCATGCCCTCTCTCATCGTCTCGATATCCACGTCACCTTCTTCAAGGCCTAGTTGGAAGTTGCTGTAGCTGCCGTTTCCTGCGAGGTCGTCGTTGAGCCACTCGGTCGCGTAGCAGCCATTTGGCTGGCAATCCGGAGAGTTTTCGTCATAATAAGGGAGCCGAGAGTAATATGGCCTGAACCAGTCAATCAGGAACGCATCCTGTTTTTCCTTCGAAGAGAGTTTTGCCAATTCGCTCGTGATGTACTTCGATTGGTCACCATAGAAGTAATAAAGCAGAGTGGGGTGGGCGGCGGAGGGGGCCAGAGAAGCCAACTCAAGAAATTCTTGATTCCACTTGTGCGGGTTTGTGTCGGTTGCGTAACCTGGGGAGAGCATCTGGCTGAATCCTTGGACTGTACGGTCCTCAGGCTTATCAGGAACCCAGAATGCTTTGGGAAAACTGATGTAGACCTTCTCAAGACAGCCATAACCTATGTTCTTGATTGCCTTGGTTAGCCTCGCTGATAACGGGGGTTCGAAGGCATCAGTATGTTGTTTCAGCCAGCCAAGCGGTGCGGTTAGAACGACTTCATCAAACTCTAAGGTCTCTCCGCCTTCAGTGTGAACGTTTACCATCCCACCCTCATCATTGGTAGTCTGGATCCTATTGGCGATGGTCCCATACTTTATCTTCGCGCCTTCGATAGCTGGCTTGGCTACGTACTGAAGAATTTTCTCGTATGTGTCGGCGACAAACAAGTTCTCTGTGATGCTTTGAGTATTCTTATCCCAAAAAAGTACAGCGGAACCAACGCATTCCAAACTTACCACCTTCTATGCATTCTTCCAGCCAGAAGAACTTGAGGCTTTGCGTGAAAATGTGACTGCCCACAAATGCTCCCCATTGATCGGCCAATTGATACACGAGATTCCTCTTCTTCTTGAACTCAGGATCGCTGTCGGGTATTCTTTGAGGGACTTCCTTCTGAAAGAAATCCCAAAGGCTTTCATCAGGACTAATGGTTGCCGAGTACTTATTACTGTACTTGAACGCATCCGATATGATGTCCCACAAGGCAGTTGAGTGAGCTACAGCATCCGAGAGGGAAATCTGCTTGCCGTCCTCATCAAAGATGGTACATTTCTCCTCCCAGTTTCCGACTGTCGTATTTGTTGCTTTGGCAAGATCTAAGATGGGATTGTCATCGGTCCCGTGGATCCAGTTCGGACCAGAATCAACTTTGTGCCCGGATGGCAGTTTGTGCTGATGCACCCGCCCTCCTAGTCGATCCCGACCTTCGATCAATGTAACTTCAAATCCATGCTGCAAGAGAAGTTCGGTGCAACGTAGACCGGCCAATCCAGCTCCAATGACTCCGACATGGGGCTTACGACCGGAAATTCTCGCGCGACGCTATGAAAGTGTGAGCCCAATGCCACGTACCGGGGATCACTCATCTGAGTAGTAGCACTGAGGAGACTGGGCCACATCTAGCCGATTTATTACACGATTTATCACCGATGGGTGCCTCGCTCACATGATAAACCCACGAGCTTCGTTTAGGCAATATTATACCTGTCCTATCTTTTGTCCCAAGCTCGGTTTCTCTGACAAGCCGTCGACGGGCATCTCGGTGATGCTGTATTGGCGGCAGGACTTTAAGTCTTTCCAGATACGCGAGAAGCTTCGTTGGGATGGACTAGTGAAAGAGATCGAATAAGCATCCATACTTGTCCAAGTTTATGGTTGATAAGTTTTCTCGTCCAAAATAAATATGACTATATCAAGAAGTAGAAAGGAGGTCGGGGATAGAAGAGATGAGACACCTGGTAGATGCGGCAATGTAGAATATACAAATCCCTCTGGCGTGGATGCGATGGACAAAGTTATACAAGGTTCTAGCGTGAGAGCTTAACAGTGAGAGCTTAACAATCAAACGATGAGGTGTGACAGACGGGAGATATGAAAGAAGGACGGAAGCTACCGACTACGAGGTGTAAAGTTGAAGGCAGCTCCTAGAAATAAAGGGAAAATCTCAACTAATCGCCTACACGCGATTCTGCACCTGCCCCATCCTCGATATCTTTCTTTGTCGGTCTGAGTGTATAGAGTAAGCCATGGAATATGGCGATGACCTAGACCAGCTTGGCAGCAGATAGGATAAAGTCTAAGAGCGAAACGGGAGCATAAAAGCAAGACCACAGCTGTCTATCTCCCACCACTCAGTATTTAAGTAGGTGTGGAAATCGATGCAATAAATGCACTAGCATCAGGTAGATCTCTCAGGGGAAGACAAGCGCCGCATCCGTCGACACAGTTTACCAGGTTTTTATGTGTGAGGTGGTTCGGTCTCATCGACTGCGATTGACAGAGGCCAACGTAGCAGAATGCTAAAATGCCACGCCGATAGAAGATGACATCTTATTGGATAGATGGATTTATTGAATGATCAACCAGACTATAATTTACTTAAACGCTGAATGACAATAGATAGCGGGATCGTCGGAAGATGAGAGAAAGAGGTGGTGCGTCCAGTAAATGCGAATGCATTTAGGTGGAGTGGAGAAGAAATCCATCGCCAGATAATCAATCCATATTGATAAGAGACAAAAGCAACATACCGCGGCAATGCCAGAAGTAAAGTTTGGGCAACTGTCATGCAGCCGGTGAACATGAAAGGGAGGCAAGAGGCAAGAATGAATCTAGATACATGTAGGTTGGTAATAGAAGTTGATTGAGGTTGCATTGGAAAGTCGCAAGTCCAAGTCCTAAGCCGACCCCTACTAAAGGCTGGAGTACGGAAGCCACCGCCCGCGGCGGCACAATAGCCCGCCCGATTCTTAACAACCTTAATTACCCATCTAATGAGCCCTGTGACAGACACCATTCTTTTCAATCCGAAATGAAATAAGAAAGCCTAAGGCATACTTTTGAAGAACTTCATGATACACAACTGCACCCAACTATCCTATTGATTAGGTATAGTCCAATCATATAAATATCGGCGACAATGACATCAGGCCATCATGGCAGTGTTTCTCTTTGGCTGCACCCCGTCCCCGTGGCGTCCCCCGTAGGTGCCTTGGACGAATAAAATAGCCAACCCGATCATAATGGTGTTGCATTGAACTAAGCCACAGCCCCTCCCCTGTGTAAGACGGCACTGATGGTGGTCATCTCAGCCGTCTCTCATCAGTCCCGATAGCCGTCCATCTCTCTTTCTTTTTCGTTCATCTTATCTGCCATTGTATGATAGACATTCATCAAAGATTGGAGGTTAACCACGCTAAAATCAGAACAGATGAGCGATCCACTTTCCGTCTCAGCCAGCATCGCTGGTGTAATCGCTCTAGCCGACTTAACTTTCAAGCTGGTCTACAAGTATGCCAGGGGTGTGAAAGATGCCAAAGGTGATATTGAATCTCTCGCCGACGAGATCAATGGGCTTTCCAGTGTATTGCGTACCTTGGAAGCAATCGCTGGGGTGCTAGAATCGGAAGGAGACGCATTCGATCCATCGCTCAGGCTACATTACCTTCATCATTGTCGCAAGACACTCGACAAGATCGAGAAACGGGTCAGGGTGGGCATCAATCGGCTTGCCAAGTCAAAGATTTCCGCTGTTGCGATGCAGCTGAAGTGGCCATTTTCATCCTCTGAGACGCAAAACCTGCTTACGGAGCTGGCTCGTCACAAGGAGACTATTACCATGGCCTTGTCCGCCGATACCATGCAAAAGTTACAATTATCGCTTGCTAAAATTGAAGATTTGGGCAAAAAGGTTTCTTCAATCGCGGAGGTGGCGCGACGCATTGAGATCAATACTGTCATCGCTGTGAAGAACGAAGAGCAGCGTGTGCTGGATTATTTTGTAAAAATCAGTCCCCAACCCTATTTTCAGTCGAGCATCAAGCTTCGCCATGCTATGACTGGACTTTGGTTGACGGATTTGCCGGAGTTCAGGCACTGGCTTGAGACCCCAAACTCTCGGCTATGGTTAACTGGTATTCCTGGAGCCGGGAAAACAGTCTTAGCAGGCTCAGTAATCCAGGAGGCGCTTGAGCGTGCCTTCCATGAATCATCTGTCAGCGTTGCGTTTTTCTTCTGCGACTACAAGAATGCCGATACTTGGGAGCCCGTCAATATCCTAGGGGCAATCGCTGCCCAATTAGCTCGTCAGAAAGAGGAAGCATTCGTGATTCTTAAAGATTATTACGAAACACTTCATCCAGCGACAGGGCTTGCCAGACCGCCTGATCCTGACGACCTTCGAGCTAAAATTACTGAGATGTCGGAGCTGTTTGACCAAACAATCGTTGTACTCGATGGCCTCGACGAGTGTGGCGATAAGATTGATATCGTTATCGATCTTTTGCTTGAACTTGGAGACTACACTGAAAAACTCACAATAGCCGTCTTTAGTCGAGACCATCAAGAGATTCGACAGAGATTAGATGAATATTATGAGTCTATCTCGATCGAAGCCCAAACAGAAGATATCAAACTTTATGTCGCCTCTGAGATTGAGAGAAGAGTCCAAAGCCGCCGATTACGACTTGCCGATATGGCGATGAAGGATGAAATATTAGAGACTCTCGTTACTCGAGCAAAGGGAATGTGAGTAAGAGACTTTTTATAGTCTTACAAGAAGCTGACAATATTAGGTTTCGTTGGGTCGTTTGTCAAATAGACTACCTCTGCGACTGTGCTCATGATCAAGAAAGACGGGAAGCATTATACAAATTGCCCCCTAATCTCCCCG